TTTTAGTTTTCTTTTAAAACAATTACAATAAGTTTTACTTTCAACGAAATTTCTCTTCTCCTTGTGAGGGGCCTATTGTCAATTTGATATGGCCCTTAAGAGGGGCTCGTTGACAATTTTTTTTCAAAAATGTCAATAGCCCCTGGGTATGCCCGTGCTCCTCCCGTTGGGGCAAGACATTGATAGGTGCAAAATGTCGCTTTTATGTATATATATATATCTGAGTATCTGAGTATATATACATAAGAGCGCCATAAAGGGCGACATTTGGATACGATATGGGATTTATATAGGAAATTGAAGGCGCGCGAGAAAAAAACGTTCTAGTACATTTTTTTATCGATTTTTTTACTCTCTCGTATTTCGGAGGTCATTGTCTTGACCTCGAATTAAAAAATATATATATATTTAGTTTTTCCGATGATATTTTCACCATTCAATTTAAACTAAATTAGGCTCCCTGTGATTTTAGTACTAACACTAAACACATGTTAATGGGCTCCCTGTGGTTCTTCCCATCTCTTAGTGATTGTGCTTGATGTCAGTTCGATCGATTGGCTCTTGTAATTTTCGCAAATATCTTGTGATTGTGGTCGATATTCCTGCACAGAAAGATCTTTTTCTGGTCAACTGATACGACAGGTAAGTCAGACATGATGTATTGCGCTGTTTTTTTTATATTTAGTGCTGTTCGTAGGATTAAAGTGCTGATGACTCGAGTCATTTGGAAACGACGCTGTCACGAAATAATCTGTAAAAACTACGAAACGAAGATCAATATACAAGTAAAGTACAATATGAGAGCGTTATTCCATACAAATACACTTCTCTACTTGTTCTATCTTGTCAAACAATCCGATAGTGTGGTGTATTGGAGAACTTTGGTAAAGCAAAATCGAGTAACCGTTGCTTTTTGGTGGTTTACCAAACTTTAGAATATTTAACATACTAAAGCAAAATCATCCTGGGCCAGTTTTTATTGATGATAAAAGAAATTTTCATTCAAGTTTTGWAGTCTGGTTCACTATTAGGGGCCGAATTCAGCTTTTATTAGACTGAAACCAAAGCACATTAGACGCCATCTTGTTTTTTTTGCACAGGAAGCCCAAGATTAAATAATCCACTAAAAAAGCCACTATATTGTTATTTTCATCCCCGTGAGGTCTGCCTCAATCAAGATGATGATGAACATAGAAGGTTGAAGTGAGAAAAAAAAAAAACACAGAGAAAATAGATAACTAGAATATTAAAAAACCAAAAACAAGAAAAATAGGAAAGCAGAGGGTAATTTTTTTCACTATGCAATACAATACAATACAATTTCATTTGGTACCTTATACTTAAGAGTACATGGGTGTTTGGTTCCAAATATATCATAGGTATATATATATATACTATGTATTAGGTAATTTTCTTATTTCGTTTTCACGTATCAGCATACATTGATGAATGTAAGCTGATATAGCTTTTTGTAGAGATGCTGATTTTGAATTGATTAAAAACAGGAAACAACTGTCAGCGCTCATGTTGTTGAAATTAATGCTGGTTTTTTTTTCTATGAACTCTCTTAAATCGTTTCTATGAGAGTCATATAGTGGACACCAAACTAGAAAGTGTTTTTCGTTTTCTACTCCCGACTTACACACTGGGCAAATCTTTTCATCGTAAATGAGATAAGGCCTCTTATACCTACCCATTTCTACTTCAAGATTATGGTTGCTAATTCTTAATTTTGTAAGCGCCACTCTGTGCTTAATATTGGTGACTTGACTTAAATATTCTTCAAAGTTATAATCCGTTTTGAACTGACGAAAGACTCTGAGTTTATTTTTATGTCTGGCGTCTTTCCTTTCATCATTGTGGAGGTTGCTCCATAAAATTTGCCTCTTAATGTCATATATTCTTTGGATTATAATTTTTCCATATTCATACCAATCTTGGAGAAAGATCATTTTGTTTCATCTAAATTATCCCCAATCTGAGTTGTTCTAAAGTAGTTTTAATTTTTGATTTTTAGTGCCGTTGTTTATACCTATGAGCCCTGGGGGGGGGGGGGGGTACTCCTATATATGGACTATATGGGGATGATCCGCTGAACAGGGTATGGTTTTTTGTGCTTCTTATCATAAACAGAGTATGCAATTTCAGTCAAGTTCCAAGTTTTTTCTGAGTTTCTTGTCATATTCAGGGTTTCTACTTTCGTATTGACTGAAACTGGTTATCATGGTCGTAAAAAACGATACGCGAGATGACATRATAATTGAAACAGGAACTCAGTGCAATWAATTATATCTTTTGTCATAAACAGGTTCTACAAATTTGAGTTTTTTTGTCATAAACAGGGTACCCCTTTCAGAATCCCAGCGGAACACCCCTACCCAAATTCTGGTGGAGTACCCCCCCACCCCCGGGCTATGAGCAAGAAGCACTGGGGTCAAGAGAGCCTCTGTAACCCAGGATATTGCTGCTGCAGCAGGTGGCGACGTGCTGCTAATGCATCGCCTTTCACCAATGACATCTGGGTCATTGGTGAAAGGATTTTTCTTATTGGTGAAGCTCAAGCATCTTATCCCCATCGCTATGCTGTTATCCGCTTTCCTTACTCTGTAATATCAAGTTTTACTCCAGAATTACTGTTCATTTCATATTTATTTCAGTATTCAAATGGAGTCAGGTGACCATATAAAAAGAGAGGATATGGACTCAGATGAAATGGAGTCAGATTGGTTTGGATATGCTTGTGAATCTGGAGAGATTTTGTTTTATTACAACATTAAGACTGGAGAACACAGATAGAACAGAAATTTTACTCACTGTGAGGTAAGCCTCTGTTTTGCTCTGCTCTCACTGTGCATTTCATTGCTCTGCTTGTGCACTGCTCTACTGTGCAGTATTTTAATACATTAAAATTAATTATTTTGATGTGTAGTTTCAGAAATTATCCATAACCCCCCCCCAGAGAAATTTGGAATTTCGGAGGGGTAGGGTCAGAGAAAGAACAAAACTACAGAGTTGGTATTGTTGAAAATTGGAATTTTCAGGGGTGGGGACCTTTAAAAAATTCCTCTGTGGATAATTTCTGAAACTACACAATACATTTAAACGCACAGTAATACTGCATCATACTGAGCCAACACCAAGCAGTTTAGACAATCACTGGTATAGTCATAAGTAAAGACTGTCCTCTAGAAACTGAGGGCATAAAGGCACAGGAAATYGTATACAGCTATTTGAAAAAAGGTTGAATATTGAATACCGCATACTGAATAGTGCATTCCAAGACCAAAGGGTATTGTGGGTCTTGTTAATTTGAAATAAAAAGTAAATATCAGCAATTAACTCTCTGCATGTAAAATTTGACTTGCGCGCTGGCTTTCCTTTTCGTTGCGTTAGCCAATCGGAAACCTTAATTTTGAAACTACGATATCACAAAATATTGTGTCAAAAATACATTCCTTTGACTAAACGTTGTCGTTCATCGGATCATCCCTACGCGCCTAGACCGAAAAGGATAACGCGTAAATTACCCAGAACTTGCGTCATCCAAACTGCTCGCCAGTTTAAATCTAATTCGCCGTATGCTCGAGCCTATGGTTTTAGCAAATTAAATGGGATCGGAAACAGCGAGCTCAAGACGTGTTAGATAACATATGCGGCAGCTAGTAACTGTGAATTAATTATCCCCATGATTCTTTTCGGTCTAGGCGCGTAGGGATGAAGCCGATCAAACGACAACGTTTAGTCAAAGGACTGTATAAGAAGCTATTTAGTGAATCGCGATGCCATATATTGAGAAATTGCACAACTTTTAGATATTAATATGGAACAGGTAAATGGTTATAATATTTCACTTGTTGTTTATCTAGAACACCATCCTTAGAGTACAGACCAGTGATGTACCAGATGTACCAAATGAACTGTGCAGTGTGGCTACACAGACTGAAGACTACGGATGTGTCAATCAATGTACCTCAATGTATGTGGACAATGAACGACAAATGGAAAATAGAGATAGCGAAAGCAACGAAATAAAAGAAGAAGTAAATGATGATGATACTATTGATGTCAATGAGCAGAACACGTTCAATAACACTGATATTAACGAGAACCTTGATGAAGTTAGTGAAGACTATGAGGTGGATGAGTCATTGGGCACCATAGTTACCAAGATAAAAGAAAGGAAGGAGCTCGTACCAAATGTACAAGCTAAGCACAAAAGTAATACCAAGACTTATGCCTGTTCTTACTGCAGTAGAACATCTAAGTGGAAAAGCGTACTTGATACTCATCTACGAACACATACCGGTGAAAAGCCATTTAAATGTTCGTATTGTGATAAAGCATTTATTACGAAAGCGAAATTGGATATCCATGTACGAACACATACCGGTGAAAAACCATATGAGTGTTTGTATTGTGATAGAGCATTTGCACGAAAAAGAATATGATTACCCATCTACGAACACATACCGGTGAAAAGCCATATGAGTGTGTGTATTGTGATAAAGCATTTGCACTGAAAAAGAATATGAATAGCCATCTACGAACACATACCGGTGAAAAGCCATTTAACTGTTCGTATTGTGATAAAGCATTTATTACGAAAACGAAATTGGATATCCATGTACGAACACATACCGGTGAAAAATCATTTGAACCAAAATCCTTTTCACACTGCTTTTGTTTTTTAATTATGACTATTGTTCCTGTATTCTCTAAGGAATCAAAAATTTTGATATGAAAGAATTTTAAAAACTAGAGTCGGGGGTAGCTACTTGTAAAGAACTGAATGAAAACAGATGTATCCARTGCATTACGAAATTTAGTTTTATTACGATCTCTCGAAACAGGTTGTAGAAAGGTTGTAGAAAATGTGTTTGGACTCCAGTAAATTTCACCCGTGGGAATCAGGATGTTCATTCATTTGCTCTCAGTGAATTAATCAGCACGTGATTGCTTAGCTGCAAAGGCCCTATAGTAGCTCTATCACTGCTTTTGAATTTTTGTAATTTTTTTCACTTCTATTTGCTTTTATATTCTTACTGAACTCCCGAACTCAGTAAGCTGTCCGCCTTCCCTTCTTATTTTTCTTCCCCTTCGAGTAGATATTTCAAATACAGTCAATCCAAAAATTGTTGTCGTCGACCAACTCAAGCCTACGCGACTGGACCGAAAGGAACTCTGGGTAGTAATCATTGAAACCGAGTTGACTGCATAATTTTATCTGACTAGTTATGCCTGGTTTACAGCACGAACCTTCGTAGGCGAGCGGGAAGTGTTGAAGGAGACGTTTTTTAATGCCTTCATATTTTCGGAATTGTGAACTGAATCATAACTACTTTGTTTTTCTTTCCCTAACCCCAAAGACATGCATTTGATAGATTGTTTCTCGCCATTATTATCTTATTACTAGCGGGAACAATTAATTCAGAACGAATATTTAACTGCTTCAGTCATGATTTTTTACCCATATTCCTTTCGGTCCAGTCGCGTAGGCTTGAGGCGGTAGACGACAACGTTCTTTGAATTGACTGTATGTTGTGAGCTGTCCTAGTCTGGGATAGATATTCAGGGCGTGTTTCATGACTGTGTAAACTGTACTGATTTCAGTTGACGGACAAACTTCTGACGTAGACCGTCTGGCTCACAGAAGGAATGAGGTCAGGATAAAAGATCGAGGTGATTGGAATCCACTCCGTCTCGGAACTTGCTGCAGTTCCTAGTAGTGAACCCCCCCATATACCGTAGTAGCTAGGGGAGGGGTGATCTAAATTCCTGACTACCCCTTAAGAATGTAGGGGGAGTGGTGGTCTAAATTCCTGAATACCCTTGGAGAATGTGAGGGGAGGGGTGATCATGAAGATGGAATGTAGAACAGAGGTCCAAGTACGAATTGCAATCACCAAGGCGGGAATTTGAAATATGAAATATGAATACATATTTTTATGGAGAGAAAAGTTTAAAAG